CTTTCTTCAAAAAGGCAGGGAGCATGGGACAAGCAGCTTTCGCACTCTGACGATGCACAGAGGCTCTTTCCGGAGGGGCCTCTGAGGCCTCTGCAGCACCAATGCCCTGGGTGTGGCTGCAGAGCCTGCTGTGCACCTGCACAAGTTACAGGAGTATCAAGAGGAGATTCCTGACCTGGCTCCCCATCTGCTAGTGTAACACTTCAGCTACACCAGTTGCAGCTGCATTACTGGCACAAATCAAATGTTTCTCCCATGGAGATTCCCAAGCCATAACTGGATTCTGGTACAGGAATACCCACTCCAGCCCATTTCCTTCTCTACTAGCTGCTGCCCCTGTTTCTTACCTGATTTTACTGTGCATGTTCTGACAAACCCTCTGTTGCAATGCCAGGGAAAGTTCTCTTTTGTGAGCTACCCCCAGACCTCCAAAAAATTCAAGGCAAGACCTTAAAATGGTATGATTAAACTAAACCAGCACAGTCTTTAAGGAAAAACCCTGGTGTTCCCGGATTCTAAGCTTTTGGGTTTTAAAAATTTTCCCCATAAGCAGAAAGACTGTGCAGACTAGCTCCTTACCTTAAGTTTCAATAAAAGTCACATAATATTGCATCTATAAGGAAAAACAGCGAACAACAAATGTTGTGTGGTAAGCTGATAGTTTAGCATGTGTGTGCAAAAAACAGCGAGGCATGAGATGCCATGGTCTCTAGAGTGCTAAGTCATCAAAACAGCACAGTGCCTTTAATAAGAGGGTCCCATAAATATTGTGTCTTCATATAAGCTTTGTAGTTCATGCAATGGAAATAAGAATTCTTAAAAAGATTCAAAAAGTATTCTCAGGAGTGGAGGGGAAATCTGAGGAGCATTCAGCAGTGTTTTGAATGCAACATTCACAACACTCCTTGACAGTAAGGCACTGCCTCACTTCCTCCTCCCCCAGCTGCCAAACCACACAGGGATGCAGAATGAATGTGGCAAGGGTCATCAGCAGATTTTCCAAGAATGGAGGTAACTGTAACTAGAGCTTATCCCATGCTGAGTGGCTACATGTCAGTTACACATGAAGCTAAGATTTTCTACTCTTATTTTATCTCAAAATAAGATTTTTAAAAAAATCTGTATATTTATGCATTTCATTTGAAAAACATGCCTTGCTACATCTACAACAGTAGCACTGTGTGGTCCTGCTTAGTGTTTAAGCCATATAAAGACATGGAAAATGATCCCTAGAACAGATTTTTCAGGCTACTTTCAAGATTATCTATATTCCCATTAAGCTCAATTAATCCAAATATGACTATATCTGATTTCAGACTGAGTCAAGCTTTTGTTCAGGACACACTGTTACACTTCCTGACCAGCACAGAAAACAACTTTCAAGACTATCATTTAAAAATCTCCTTCTCAAAAATTTTTACCGTTTTTAAAGTCCAAAGTGAAACGGGCTTTTATATTTCTCCTTTGTCCTGATGCAATAAAAGTTTTTCCTCTCCAAGAAATCAAGCTCACTGCGACAGGGCAAACAAGGAACCTTTAGATATTGTAAGGACAACTGAAAGGCTCTGGTCCAGTTTTGACTTCTAGTTCCTGCACCATGCTATCACCCTTTGAGAAACTATTGAAACTCTACAGCCCAGTCACAACAGAGTTTTATTCAGAAGGGTAGGTTTATTTGTGGAGTAGTCAGGCCAAAGCTGAAGTCAGAGACCCAGAAGTTTTCTCCATGTAGAAACCAGCACAGGTAGGAACAAGGTTCAGTACAATGCTCCTTGACCTGCCAGAGCTTCACAGAGACACCAGGGAGACAAGCAACAGAAGGTCCTTCCCTCAGTTCTTTGGCAGCATCGGCACTTCTCCCTTAACTGGAGGTGACATGCTCCTACACTGTGCTTGGAAGACACAAGGCAAGTACACGTCAGACTGCAATGGCCCAAAAATGCAGCAGTTCTTATGACAAAGATCCAAACTAGAGGCAAAAGTTAATTCACGTAAAAATCCTAAAATGTTGTGCAAGTTATTCTTTTTATGTAAAAAATCTTACCATTATCTCACATTCACTAAATCAATTACTTTCATCACAAATGTGTACTAGTAAGAAGCAAGATGATGCTAAATTAACATGGATTGGAGGATATCTGAGACAAAAATGAGGGATAGCCTTGAACAGAAAGGCAAATTTGGTGCTTGTCATTAAAAGTGCAATCAATTTAATTCAGTTTCTGTGTCAGAATCACCGTTAGAATGTTATGATTCATACCTGTATCACCTAATATTCATAAGCCTACCAGCAGAGCACTCTGGACAGTTTTCAATGTTTGTTTCTTTAAAACATTCACATACTGTCCCATGGGAATCCTGACATATCATAAGTTCTCTTGAAACAATATCCCAACAAATGACAGCTCACAAAAGTTGCAGCCCTTTTACCTGGCTTGGAACTCTGTCAGCTATAAATCAAGAAACTTAACAAGTATTGAGACAACTGATAAGCCTCCTGGCTTTTCAAAAGATTGAGTCTGTGGCCTCCAAACACTTCTCCATGGCTTAATGCTAGTTGTAGACCACTCAAGTATCACTGTTGGACTAGTAGTACCTGAGAACAGAAAAATTATGAGTTCTCAGTATTCCATTCCTGATGTTTCTCAAGTAATTACAAGCAAAAATTCCCATGGATACTTTGTCATTTCCTCCATACTATACCATTTTACTTAATTGTGTTTTTTCCTGATGATGGATGACTTTTATATCTGAACCTCATCCAAGGTTTGTTTTGCTTGTTAGGGAACTTTGAGTGAAATACTGTGGGTCATTATTCAAATTTCAAAAGAATATTTTCTACTCTTTTACTTCCGACTTCAGCTTCACATTTTCAAATTTCCCTGGCTGTGTAATAATTTCTTACTTACCGATCATGAAAACATCGTATGTGACACAAGTGGTTTTTTGTTCAAAAAACAAACAGGCATAGCTGGTAGTCACTAGCCCATGTGCCACTCACAATCAGAAAAAGCAAAAGGTTAGAATTCATGTTCCTGGTACGAGTGACTGCTTTATATTGTAAACAGCACCCCATGTTAATGAGTTTGACAACCACCACCTTCGTATTTCATAGTACAGCTACATGTGGGTTCTTACACTTCTTACCCCAACTTTACAAAAATGCAAATAGACATATAAGGTGTAAAAAAAAAAATAATGAGATCTGCACATTTTGAGAACAAGTTGTGGATTCTCTTGTTAAAAGCTCAAGCAGTGAACTACTGACTGGGATTTGCTGCTCAAACTATCAGCAGATGATATAACTTGAAGTTCAGAATTTATATAAATGACACTAATCTAATTATGCAATAGCCCAAACTAAACCAGGCATTTTTGTCTTGCTAGGTACAGTTTAAACATGAGATCTCTGCTGGGCCAAGCATACCAAAGAATTCACACCATCAGCTAGAAACTAACAGAGTTCTACTTAAAATGCTGTGATTTACACTAGGGATTTCAAGTAAATTTAATTAGTTTCCTACATCTCAGCAGAATATATTAAGAGCAAATGAATTCTCTCAGCATAAAACAGTGAAACAATGAAGAACAAGTGAGTTAAGCCATCTTCATAAATCAATTCGTCCTAAAATATGTGCTAATCCCAATCTGCACTGTGGTTGGATAATACCATATGGGTACATTCAGCAATTTTAATTTAAACTGCCTGCTGTTAAACAGAAAAGGGCAGCAAGTCAAGACCACTGTCATCATTCACATTTGCTATTGCAGCATCGAATCTGTGAAGAAAAAACAGCAGAGCTGCCCCAAACAATGTTCACTGGGTCTTCTATTCTTTATCCTCTTACACAATTCACTTGTTGTGTGATACTGATTGAGATATGCAGTCATCACGTTTGTGAGGAAAAATAGGAGAGGAAAATCTTCTTTCCAGATTTACGGAGTCCAACACTTGGTAAGTTTTCTATTTAACTTTAAAAAAAAAAATAATAATGTGGAGCTACTAATAGCTGGCTCTCTAAAGGATAGGAAGTTAACCTGCATATGCCTGAGCCATTCACTCAAAAGTTCACTCCCTGTTTTGAAATTCAGACCTCTCACTAGATTGGCTTGGAAGTGCTGTAAAAGTAGCTTATTCTCTTACTATTCCATTATTTCCACAACTCTTCACAAGTCAATCCTCTAATTATTGAAAAGCATATAAAGACAAGGATTATTTCAACTTCTTCAGTTACATAAGGATTCAAGTGCGCTAAAAAGATTATGTTTTGCAAAAAGCATATTTCTGCACAGAAAAATATTTCCGTTGTTGATTATTAGCAGCTATGCCCATTTAACAAACCATTTTTACTAACAAATTAATAAAAGTTAGCCACAAGATTTTTAAATGAAACTATCTCAAGATTTTTTGAAACATTGGCTGAATATTCAACAGAATGGGTGTTCCAAGGCTGAGTTTAGACCCTCAAGTCAATTCAATAGCATGGCAGGGACAGAAACTGAAATCAGAAACCTTAACTTTTCAGTCTGAAAGTGGAAATCTTGATAATTTCCCGAGATGGAAAAAAAATTCAATAAAGAAGCCTGAAGATTGTCTGCTAAACAGAATTATCCACCTCCAGTTAGCTCTACAATTAATTGCCTGTCTCAGAAAATTACTTGGATCGGCCTTTCTCATTCAGGGATACACCCCTCCAAAAAATGTCACTACACCAGGTAGTATTCTGGGAGCACAATCACAATTTAACCCAAATCAAGAATTAGAGCTATTTTACAGCAGAAGGTAGAAGTATCACCCTCATCTTGCAGACAAATGCGTACAGGTGAATTAAACAACACTTTCATGGTAATTTCTGCAAGTTCTGTGATAGATCTCTTATCTATAGCCACGATTTCACATGTGTGCTGTAATCTGTCAGCCCCACTTCTTCACTACAGAATCATCCTCTTTGAAAGAAATTATGTTTCTAGAAAAGGAAAATCTGAGAAATCTCTCTTACCTGGCAAAAAATGATGCTGCCACCGAGGTGCCTGTGGATACTTCACTGGCAACATATGTGCTCTGGGAAGCAGGGAAGCTGTACAAGGAGGGTTTATCTGCATTGTAACGGTTCAATGCGGCTTCAGTCAGGCCCTCTCGACTAGTCTCTGTCATAAGCTGAGATATCTGAAGACAGAAAAACAAACAAACAAACAAAAACACAAGTGTCATCAGCTAAAGATCACTAGCTGACCCCTCCTCATCCAGGAGTGCCTCTGGGTTGCAGATTAAGTAAAAGGCATTTCATTCACTACACCTTTGCTGCTCTGCAAACAAGTTTAATGCTTCTGTCATGCTAATCTACAGTACTTTGGCTCAGCTCTAACCTTGCCTGCATTAAAACTAATGGGATAAATTCATCCCATCACTAGAAATGCCAATAATGTCTATGGCTTTCCATCCATATGGAAAAGAGTAAACCACAATCCTTGCTTGGTTTTACCTCACAGTACAAGAGTGACATCTTAGATATGTGTAAGACATTTATATTTTACTTCAGGAAAAAAATACATTTGTTTGCCTTTGTAAAATAACACAGCACTAGTGTATTAAGTATTTTTGTTGACCTTTCTCCAGAAAAGCCAGCAGGCAGCACAGGAAGGAGTCCCTTGGGTTCCTAGACTGTTTATCATCTCTCTGGAAAACTGGGATCATTACCACTCACTTTCAATGTCTTTCTTAAAAGGTTTTAAACATCCTGTGATTTCATTCTTCTGATAGCCCATGTAATATTTTTCTGCTGTTAGGAAGCCTCATCTCAGCCTTTCATTGTCTGGGAAAAGAAATGGAGTTCAACTAGACTTGACCCAGCTCCCCTCAAATTAACTGAAAGATTGACTTTGGAGAAAGCTGGGTCAGCCCTACTGAAGTACCTTCTCAAAACTTTGGTTTCAGTTTCTTGGCTATTACTTCTGCATGAATTTACAATGCTGTGATGTCATCTATTGTACTTCATGCAATTCCTAACAACTTCCCTTTCATCCTTCTCTCATTTCAACCACAAATAGCTTTTGTTCACCAACGCATGTCACAAAATTGCAACATGTCTGAAAAAAAACCTCTCAAATTATCACTCACAGTCATCCAAGGCATAGCTTCCTTCCCCCTGCAAAAAATTTGCAAGAACCAGTCTCTCACCTGTTCAATTTTGGTTCTTACGCCTATCCTTATCACCATAATAACAACAGAACATCTTTATGAGGCAGATCAAGAAAGTACTTGAGATCATCCTGTAGTTCTTTTCTCACTTAGGTTTGCTTTATTTCAGGTGTTAAGCATTTCAGTTAAAGGCAAAACTGAAGAACTGTGATTTGTATTTGGGAGAGCAAAAGACATGTGATATGAAAACATTTTTTAGATCAACTACCAAGCCACCTCTGTTTCATTTACAGAGAATTGTTATGCATTCTACTATGGCTAAGAAGATAATCTAAGAATTTATCCTTGTTTCACATATTTTTAGGCCGATCAGCTGTAACACTTCAAGAACGCTAAACTAGCCTCTCTATTTTATGAGGAACCAGTAAAATTGCTGAAAGTGCCCCTATCATGTTAGTCACACTGAGCCATTCTAATTTATTGATTCACTGCAGTGAATGAGCAGTGTTCTCAGAAAGCTATAGCTGAAATCCTGGACTTAAATCACCTCATACTACTGTTAAAACACAGGAATTTAGGCCGGCTGCCAGGATACCTACCTATATTTCCAGCGTGCAGGCTAACAGGCATTTGTTCTTCAGCATTCTGCTAACCTATGTATGTCTGCTTGGGGCATCCAATACACCTGAATTCACTAAACAGTAATTCCTCAAATTTTCTATATTTTTTTCCTAACTCAGCTATTTATATTCGCAATGAACTAGCACAAGATTCTGCCCTGTCCCCTCAAATTACCCTAAAACCGATTTCATCATCTACCATGTTCGGTACAGCTAAGCAAACAGAATTAAAAAGCTCTAAATTCAGAGCAGAGTACACATATAAACCTAACCTCATTCTAGTCCATCCAATTCGTATATCTGAAATCAGGGATGGATCGTCGTTAATCAATTGCCATTGCTGACAGTGCTACTCACTTCCATGGCAACCTGTCAGCAGTTAAGACGCTGATGAGGTAACTTATCTCAACTGCAATCTCAATTGCAATCATAATCTCCCCATCTTTTGCCAAATAAAGGTTTGCAGCTCCAAACATGGGTTTCCACAGCCAGTGCAGTGCATTTCTATTGGTGTCAGCAGATCCCCTGAAGTTGCAAGAGAGTGAGGCTTAAGAGAGGCATTTCAGCCAACTGTAAAACAGGAAAGGATTTGTGTGCCTCCATGTTTGGGACATCCAGGAAATATCCATTGTGAAATGGGCATAAAAGCAGTAACTAAATGGTTTCCGCAATTATAGAGACGTTCAGGTGATCCATGCCCACATCCACAAGCCCTATCAATGTGAACAGCACAGAGTAAACAGAGCAATAAAAAGCCTCAAGTTGACTGTAGGCATTGCCTGAAAGGTATTACTCTCAAAGTTCCTCAAAAGCTGATTAGATGCTTGGTTCACAAGGTTTTTTGAGTAACTTTCTTAAATACAAGCACTCCAAAATAATCAAATACACAAAGAGACATGCAATTTTTTTAGAAATATATAAACCATTCCCCCTCACCTATGCACTCAGAGAGAAACAGATATTAGTCAGCAAATAGAGTGTTAATGTTTTTAACAAATGGGTTTGAAGATCTTATAAAGCCTGTATTTAGGTCACATTTTCTTACAATAAAATGCAATAGACCTGAAGAGGCCGCCAGAAAAACATATTTACAAATTCTGTATTTGGGGAGTACCATACTATCCACAGGACAGAGAGAAAAGAGACAAATAATACTCATTTTAGGAATGGCATATACTATAGACAGATGCAGAATGGGGTAGTTTCTATATAAATATAGGCTTTTCAGTAGCACTGCTATTTTGTCATGTGTCCTGCACAATAGTCCAAGCACTGCAGGGGGGACGGTCAGCCGTTCAAACTGCAAGCTGCAAAACGTCTGTATGGTACTGACCACTAGAGCCTGCTGGAGAGGCTGCAGCTCTCCTTCGTGTTCATTCACGCATCTTGCTTTGTCGCAGAAAACAGGAAGGTACTGTTGACATTGATGTATTATTCCAGTATAAACAGCCATGTCGGAGACCCCTCCCGGAGGTGCCCTGGACGGACACTTATAAAGGGGCACGTTGGGCTTGTTAAGCACCGTCTTGCTCCTGAGGGTCCAGCACCACCACCTGGTTTCCCTACCCATGCTGGCACAGTTCCTGGGCAAAAATCTGTTTCTCAGTTTGAATCCTCTCAGAACTAAACTCCCAAATGCACATACTGTCTGTCCTTGAGCTCCATTGATTTACTGTTTGCCTCAGCAGAGACACTTCTTAGGTGACAGTGTATTACAAGGATACCAAAATGGGAACAGACTTTATTTTACCTAACACAAGACATGGAGAAATTAAGACAAAATAAGAACTGGTTTAAACTACAGTCCAGGATCTCCTAATCTAAGAATGGTTTCCAGTTGTAGCACTTGCTTACTTTGTCTGCAAAGTAAAAATGTGGGATTTTTCAGCAGTAAAATGTATCCAGAAGCAATGCCAATCTTCAAACATTCTGCTGTTCCTTACCTGGGAAGCCTGCAATAACACTTGATGTTATACAGGTAAAAAGCCCACAGAAGTATCACAAGGTGATACTGCAACACCCATAACCTCAAGCAGAACATCAGGTTTTGCTTGAACATGTTCCTCAGGTCACTATCTCTTGCTATCTTTTCCTTATATCAAAGCAAGAACAGGATAACAAACTAAACTTGATATTTAATTATGGAATTTCCCATTTGGTCATGCAGTCAGTGGAGAGGAAGGGCAAAGACAGTGCTATGCCAAATTCTGGGCCAGGCTGAGCACTCTTTGTGTCCAGTACTCATCAGAATACTGTTTATACTGCACAAATTTGCACATCTAGGCCAATCCACAGAGGGAGTACCTCACTAGACACATGCCCACAATATTTGACTAATAAATCTTCATTTATTCCCAGAGTTCAATGTATAGACATAAAGTAGTGGGCAGAAAGAAGTCCAGGTAATTCACACATCCAGAGACTACTGACTTCAAGTCAGTTACATTGCATTTCTTTCTTTTGCCTCAGATTGGAGAGTGTCAAAATCATTTAAACTATTATACCAAACTGAAGAGTGGGCTTTGGAATAATCTTACCATGACATTTATTCTGTCCTCTATTCACAGTACCAAATTATTAATTTCTTCTCCGATGTTGCTCGCCGAAATTCACACATACAGAAACTTGAGTAAATGTACACAGGATATATCAAGCATTTAAGGAAAGGTAGATCAGACATTTCCAAAGCTCTTAGAGAATTTCTTTTTTTCCCCCCATCCCAGTTCAAAAGACATAGTTGAGAGTTACTCTTTGAACATTAACAAACTCAGGCTCATTTTTTTCTTTTTTTTGGTGGGTTTTTTTTTTTTTTTTTTAAATGGTTTTTTTTTGTTGTTTTATTTTGATTTGGTTTGGGTTTTTTTGCACCTGCCCCCCTCCCCCCAGTAATGTGTGCCTGGCAAGTATAGTTCATATAAATCTGCCTCTTCAGTGTCACTGTCTCTGTCAGTAGATGCTGTTTCTGGATTTAAGGGGGAAAAGAAGAATAAATTCCTCAATTCTCTTTACCTTTCCTTCTCTGAATACCCACATAGCACATACATGAGGTTTAAGATCAGTTAATAGGATATATTTTGAGAAATTCCTTTATTGAATTGCTGGCAGCGCATCACTGCCTGGATAAGCAAAAGAAAAAAGACAAAGCATAGAACAACGTAACATTTCATGTCTCAATAAAAATCCTTAAAGTGCACATGGAACAAGACAGATGTCCCTCCCAAGACCCCATTTTTTTTCTCCTGTCTCATAAAAGCAAGGCATTCTCTTTCACTGCTTTCTGACAGAATACAGCAAGAGGTGGAGATAAGTCATGATTTAAATTCTCTACTTCATCTGGAAAAGATGGCTCTGCAGCTAAACCACAGGTGTCAGGCAGGCTAGATTCTCCTGCTATGCTAAAGAGTATCT